GTTTTGTGAGTGCTGCAATGGATTGTGAGATGTTGCAATTTGTCTTGCTTTTACAGCACCCAAATAACTCACCAACATCTGATTGGTGGGTTGTTGATCATGTGCTACTGACTTTGCGACAATTACATCTCCATACACGTATACCTGTATTTACATTTATGTAATGGCTACTTTCAACCAATGTGATGTATTAAGCAAGTAGGTCTTTAATTAGGAAATATGTAACCTACCTTTCAAGATTGCTCCCTGATGTGATCTCATTTCCATACAGCTTCAACTCTCTCAAATCCTACCGAGAGTAAAGTGCAACATTACAGCTTGGTTTATACTGAAACAAATCACACTGATCCAACGCGTGACAAAAACCAGTATAAGGCACACTTGCTCACATGATAAATGCTCGCTTATCAAGGTATCCTATGCTATGTTGGGGCTTGAACAGTGCAAGTGTAAACCTAAGGAGTACAGGGTGCTTCAGCAACACTGCAGCTATAGGCCCACGCTTAGTTATGTTCAGTATTGCAGGACAACATGGTACAGTGTATGTTTGTGCACATGCTGATGAAAAGTGGTTGAGCCAATTCAGGCCAATTTGCAAGCAAGAACTAGCATGCATAGTAGGACCACATGCATGTACTGATGATGCCACAGTTTGCTTACACCTGCGCTTTCCTAAGGAGTGGGGGGGGGATGGTCCACTGAGCATGATAGGAAAGCATACATGTATAAAACACTGTGTGCTGCTATCATTGCAGTATGTGATGTGTGCTTTACAGGCTTTCATAAACAGACTGTAACCAGCGCCCTCTAGAATTCCGGCGTGAAGCCAATAAAAGCTAATTTCAGTATTAAGTAACTACAATACTGAAATCATACCTTCATGTGATGCAGATTTGTGATCTGTTTAATGAAATTACAGGACAAGTCCAACAGACGAAGATTCCTAAACTGAAATGATATAACACAAAAATACATATACTGTAATTGAGCAAAAACTAAAAAAGTGAATATAGACAGAATTGTGGTTTATTATAACACACAAAACCAAAATGCTTCTGGATAAAAAGCAGGATTCTGTGCAACATTAAAGCAAGGTTCTAATTAGCAAATTTTGAAATACCAGCTCAAGTTTCAGCTAAGTGTATATTTGCATCCACTTACGGGCACTATTATTATTGACAGCTATAAACAAGTTTTTCTTAGCCAATGGCATGGGATTCTTGCCTGAGTCTGTGAATATTTGGCAGCAATAGCAATAACAGATGGAAGTCTATTCAATTAAAATCTTGAACAATTTATAACCACTTCCACAACTCTTGAATTATGGCTTTAAAACTTAAAAAGAAAAAAAGGCAGCATCACTGAGCAGCATAAATAAGACTTTGAAATTCTCATACCTTCTCTAAGTTCGGAACTGTGCCAATATTGGATGCATGCAAAGTCACTTCATACACATCAGCATACTTGGACTCTTGGCTCATTTCAAGCTGCGGCAAGATTAAAATAACTATTAGAGTTTCATCTTGAATGTGACTATAAAACACTTCAACCAAGACAGACCAAAATGTGTTCAACTTCATTTTTAAGTTTGCACCATCACCTGGTTATAATTTCATACTTCAAATTTTCTTACTTTTTTCCCAATGAATTCTAATTTTCAGCGAATTTCTCAACAAATTCAGGGTTGCGTTACCTTGCATGCAAACAATGAAGAAAGTTTGACTCTGTGTGCAATATGCAGTCAATGTCCAGGGCAGATCCTGTGCTCAAATTAGTTTGGGTGCCAAAATTGGTTTATTAAAAAGGAATGCGCGGTGGGAGGAGTATAAAACCTTTCTGTGGCCTTTCTGTTTGTTGAAGCTACACTGAGGGACTTTTGGATGGAATCAGAACGAAGTGCATCAAAAATTAAAATTGAATTTCAACTGAATTTGTAAGCATTACATACGGGTTAGTAAGCAGTGCCAAACCGTTGCCTCTTCACTTACAATTTCTTGAGGTGACACGGTTTGGCATTTTGAGTCTGACTGTCCAGATGTGCCATCTTCAGATGGCACATCAATGAATCGCACATCCTGTCCTCTGTCATTTGCCTGCAAATCCTTATCCGTGTGATCATCAGCTACAAGTTTGAAGGAATTAGGTCTTCGGAGAAAAAAAAATCAATGTGTTAAATATCAAAATTGTGCTAACACTAATACTTAAAAAAATTATAGTTTTTGACAAGTAATTTTATCTTTTGCTGGACAGAATAGTGTTTTGCAATCTTTTCACACAACTCACAATGCAAAAGATGGCTTAGTGTACATGTATTAGTAACCATGCCTTTTTACACAGCAGGAGACGATTAATAATTCACTTCAGGCAATTTTCTTTTCTTATGTAGTGGCTTTGGTTGCAGAAACCATGTGGTGAGTTGTGAATCAATTATTTAAAGCACTTTACATGACCAATCAATGTATTCAGTTCAGTTTCCCGTAGGCTATCATGGTCCTGCAGCAGCTTATTCAATATGTACATGTATGCTCCCAGTAAGCATGTGAACCTTGGTTTAAGCCCCGCGACAATTGTCAAATTTTTCTTTCAAAAATTTTCAGTCAAATCTTATTTTTACTTTCTAAAGACCTCGTTTTTTGGGGGGTAGATTTACAGCCCTAGAGGATTTTTATAAACGGGAGATATAGACTGTGATCCATTTGCTACAGAATGGTCTGGTTTCTGTTTCCAGTGGTCCAGTTTAGAGTAATAGAAGTAGACAGCATCTACATGTAGTCTAAAGTGCCATAACTACCACGATAAAGTTGAAAGTAAACAGCTCAGCAAAACCCAAACAAAAACAAAACAAACCCCCCATTAAAGAAACAAAACAAAGATACATTTGAAAATCACAAATGTATTGCATTTAATGTTAAACTGTTTGATTTTTTTCAATGTTTTCACAAGAAATTATATCCAAAATTGTTTAAACTGAGCAGTAAACAAGACTTGAGATCAAAACCAATGCCCAGCTACCCCAAGAACTGTGGAGCTCATCATCTGCCTCACTCCCAGTGCCCTACATTTGTGAAAGCGTGGTGGATGATGAACATAACCAACCCCACAGTTTAGGGTAAACGCCAGCCCCTTCAACTTCAAGGCTTCAATTATTAAAATAAAATATTTCTTCTAAAATTTTGAAGCAAGTTTTACAACTATTGGCACTCCTTTCTTTCAATTTGGTGTGGGGACAATTTTCTCCGCCATCCAACGCATTGAAGCTCACCTGTTTCGTGCATGACCCGTCACATCCCCACCATTCGCAACACGGCGTCCCAGATCAATGCGTGTTGCTGGTCGTTGGTTGTGTGCTGGCGCACTACAGCTGTTTTTTGGCGTCTCGGTTGAGCTCTTTCTGCGCGTCATTTCAGAATTTTGATTGACCCTGGAAGAAATGGGTGCCAGCTTCGACTTGGCTTGAAGAACCGTGGGTTTGAAAGATGCCATTCGAATATCCCCACTGGGTTTTCCAGGGATTCTTCCTGGAGAAAGTTTCCCGTTGTCAATGTCAATATTACTCGCCAGCGGGAGCTGCCATTGTTGTTTAATTGACACTTTAAAACACTTGAGGGCGCCAGAGTAAGCTCAGCACAGGCGTTGAGCAATGAGTACTCGATCAACGGGACCGGTGGTTACCCCATAGTTCGACTAAACGTCTGATCAAACGCACGTTGGTCGACGATGGTTGGACTAGTCTAGAAAACTATTCGCGACCAGCCTACCGAGGTTGGTCGCGTCGATCGTTGGAGTCCATCAACCATTTTTAATAGAACGGTGCGTGCAGAATGGACCAATGATAAGAAAAATTCCTGGAAAACAGTATGCCAGTAGTAAATGACCATTTTCACTGTAAGTTTTCTATTTTACCACCTTTGCTCAGGCTCCCCTTCGGCCTGATGACCTGAGAACAGACGACTAGGGTCGTTCGCACTTGGGCCTAGTTCGATCAAGGAGCATGTTATAACTAGCGGTCGGTTGGTGACGCATTTAGGGCATGTGCTGAGAAGTTGAAGTGCGAACGACCCCGTAGTAAAACGTTGTTGGGTCATCAGAGGCCGAAGGGGAGAAAAGGAGGCAACAGGAAGGATAAACTAGTAAAAATAAAAGTGAAAATGGTCGTTTACTTTTGACATACTGTTTTCCAGGCATTTTCCTTACAACTTGTCCTCTCTGAACTGTGTTACTACGATTTATGGCAATCAACGATGCGACCAACCTCGATCATACTGAGGCTGGTCGCGAATTGTTCAAGTTGACTCAGTAGACTAGTCCAACCGCCATCGACCAGCCTGAGCGTGCGTACAATCAGAGTTGGTCAAACTAAGGTTAACTATGATCCTTAATCGAACTTGCCCGACCCGTCACTGCAAACTCTAGGGGACTAGGTACGTCACGAACCATTCACCACTAGTTAATTGCCTCTACAGTCTAGTAGTCGGCTATTTGCGATCAATCTACAGAGGTACGTCGCGCCATTTAATAGTTGCCTTAAACCGCCTTTAATTGCACAGAGCAGAGAGGGCCAATTAAAAGAAAAATGACGGAAAACATGTCAGAATAGTAAATGACCATTTTCACTTTTATTTTTGCTATTTTGCCCCACCTGGTCTCGCCCTTCGGCCTACTGACCTGACCACGGTTAACTAGAGTCGTTTGCACTCCAAATTCACCGCATACATGCCATCATGCGCCAGGTACGTCATGAACCAACCAAAATGAGTTAACTAGTATAGCGCGCCTTCATCAAACTTGCCCAACAATACAAGACAGGGCATTCATCATGTTTTTTCCAGTCTTGAAAGGACACTGATCTGTCGAATTGTCGGACTGTGTGTACTTTAAAAAGAAAAGAAAAGAAAAAGCCAAAGCCACGAGTAGCCCTTTTAGTCAAGTCTGGTTCCACCATCCTGTTGTGTTCACAAAAAATCGAAAGCGGTGCAAGCTAGACGTGTCCACGATTGAAGCGCAAGACTAACTGTCCGGTATTCTTAGTTGCTGTGGAGTCGGGAGATACAGCGGCTGTGCATGATGAATAACGTGTCCCCGGTAAACTGTTAGCCAAACGAGGGAGGGAGAAGTGAGGGGGTTGGGCGGTTAAAAAAACAAAGTGTGCGATACGTTGGGGTACCATCCACCATTCTCGGTCGACGGCGTACGTGGCGAAACAAACCTAAACCAGTCTGAAGCTTGCCCGCAAATACCCTGCGTTCAGCCCGCGATTCAGAGTAGTACGAGTGGTGCTTAGTACACGTACATTAAAATTTAATTGGACATGGTCGAAAGTGAGCCTTGTTAATTTTTTTGACCGTTGTGCGCTCGGGGAGTGAGCAAAGTTTTTTATTCAATGCAGTGTAAAGTCCTTTTAGACCAGAGAGTAATAGCTATAGTAATTTTAGAGGGTTTCCGAAGACAAAAGTGAATAAAAGTGCAGAAGCTGAGAGAATTTAATGACATTGAAATTTTTGCCCCTGTACATTTTCAATGGACCGCTCAAGCTTTTTGCCTGCACATGCCTTGTATGCGCATGAGCACATAAATTGGAATTTATTAGTGGAAGAGCCTATTGAACCGCACTCGTCGTACGTATCCACACGTGTTTCGAACGGTCCAAGTGAAAGAACAACAATGTGTCTGGAAGTCCCACAGACGAACATAAAATACGTCAGTGGCCATACCTGACAATATTGGCTATAATAGTCTTGTGTGTGCAAATGATTATGCGCAACGCAACAACAAGCGGGTAGAATATTCGACAGGCATGTGGGCAGGTATACCCACACTATCCAGTAAGTGAATTAATTTCAATGTGCATTAGTGCATTGTTCGATTTAAATGTTTTCAACAATCGTTCTGCGTCACTGACTAGAGCCTACCGATGATGGTACAAATTTATTGCTGGTTTTGTTGGTGAGGAAAGCAAACATCAGTTTAAGATATAGCTACTACAAGACTCAAGTATCCAGAGTAAAGCTGGCATGAAGGAGGCCGGCATATAGTATTGTTATAGTGTGGACTCGGACTGAAACAAAAGGTAAGATTCTGGAGAAACTTTGCATTGAAAGAGGCTGTAGCTTGTCTAAATCATGTCCGCTTTTATACCTGTATAACATCCTTTCAGTATTGACAGTGGGTCCAGGTATTTAAAATTATTCTTGAATGTTTCATTAATTTAAGAAGTGGAGCTAGTTTTGACGGCGCAGTCTTTGGAATTTTTGGACTGCTTACCCGTTGAACGTTTGCAGAGACCACGGTGAAGGTCCTTTTTATCACTAATTCTGTAGATGGACCAACCTAAGGCAGCCGATAAGATACCCTTAATGCTGGAGGAGCATGCGTCGTACGGGGACAGGGACGCCACACCTCCTGACAATGGTGACCAAGATGACCAAGAGGTTCGTCAGATGTCGCCCAAAATGCAACATTGAAAACAATGACAAGAACCATTTGCAAAGTCGTAGGCTCGTCTGTAAAATGCAATGAAATAAATGTTAAGGTCCAAGGTTATCGTAGTCCTGCCAAATATTGAAGATAGGTTAGCATCATAACCACACGCAAGCACGGGCCATAAAGTTGAAATTTGGGAAACATCACCATGACTCTACGCCACGAAATGCCCTACGGAATAACGAAATATCCGAAAGTTTTTAATGCTGAATGAGTGTATTTTTGTGAAATGGGACTTGTGGTATTGTTTGATATTCTGTCTGGTGATATGCGGGGGGGGGGATCCATGATTTTCAGCTGTTATAGTAAAGTGCTATGTTTAAATGTGCACTAATTTCAAACTATTTGAGCTTGCTTTGGCCCCCCCAATTTTTATGCGCGTAGGCCTACCTGGATCTTTTTCTCACTAGCAGACTTACTGTGTGACTTATATATTTTTGATAATTAATACCGAATGGAAACTAAGTAAATCATACAGTTAATTTATATGATCAATTGTTTGATTGTTTGTCTTTTATATGACGACAGGAACCGAAGGGACTCACTTTTTGGCAGACATTTTTCGCTGGATCTGGAATTATTTCTGGCTTCAGTGTCACGGTGTTGATGACAGTAATTATTTACACAGGTAATGGCACAGAACAGGTGAGATGTGCGTGCACAAGGAGAGTTTCTCTGCTAAATCTTCTTCCCTAAAATTTCAGTTCTAATAGTATATCCACAAGATGTATACCCATGTCTTTGATAAAGGGTAGTGTTGTAGTCGAGTATTCCTAGTACCAAATTCTCTGCCATATTAAGGGAACTGGTTAGGAGGAAACAAAGCCAGAGAACATGGGTATTGGACGTCATTTTCAGACTTCAGACACTCTTAGTTTTGTAAAAAAAAACCTTTGGGTGAGAAAGTACGCGACGAAGCAATTCTGTCTTAAAAATAGATTTTCATTTAATAGAGATGATCTAAATTCATCTTTTAGTTTTGTAACCTTACCTTAATGACGTCCATGTCCAAGTTCGTCAGCTCCAGTTTAGTATTTGTTAGAGAACTTGGTACTCAAAACGTGCTCTACTGCAGCGCTGGTAAAGGGATGATGGATTGATAATACCAACAATTCTTGATAATTGAATATGGCAAACTCCAAAAAAATGGCAAAAATCCTCAGAGAAGGGCTTTCGAGGAAACTTTAGACCCACTTTGTGACCTTGGGATTGCCCTGTAACGTTTATTATCTGTACCAATCGTTTGATCTTGGATGTCAGTGTAAGTAGCTGTTATTTGACAGGTTGGTTATTGGGTATCACGATTTACGTCGTGGTGGTGCTGCTGCTGACCTACACGGGAACTTTACTGGGGAATTGCTGGGAGATGATCGGGAAAAATTGCCGCGATGACCGGCATCCTTATGGAGCCATCGCAGATCAGGCATGCGGTAAAATAGCAAGGTAGGCAAATGAAGAAAGGTGATAGGTTTTCCAACATTCTCATCAGGCGGTGCAAGGGTTCACGGTTTATTTTGAGACGCTGTCCGTTGTCAGCCCGTCCATTTTCGACCGCTGCAAAATTAATTAAAGAATCTTTAAGAGTGGACCTTCTGGGGGAGACGACATGAAATAATTTCTTGGGTATCTGTTTTTCGGAAACAAATCTCTGAAGTTATCATTGGGACATTGGTGCTGGATGAACCCCGCTCATCTTTTTTTTTTTTGCAAAACAATCGGTGCCGTATTCAACAGGGATGGAGGGGGCGGGGGTAAGTTCCCCCATACAGGTAAGCACTGTTTTTTGTTAGGAACTGAATGGAAACGTATTCTAGACACGACACCACCTCATTTCTCTTCGCGAAATCTTTTATATTTAGATGAAAAATTTGTTCATTCATATTCAGGGGAAAAAGACCCATACCTGGATATGCACTGAAAAACCATATCAATGCTGAAGAAACGTCTAAAGAAAAGAAAACAAAACAGACAAAAAATAGTTTGGGACATTTCTCAATTTCTGTTTTAATAAGTATGTCGTCTGGTCGTAGTACGTGGTGACCAATAAAGGTAACACAAATTAGGAACTCCTCAGCTACGCTTTTATACCATTATTCAACACTAAAATTACTGAATCTGTCTTCATGTCAGGATGGCAATCAACACAGTAGTGGATCTCAACATTTTCACCGCCAATGTCATGATGCTTCTTATAATCCCTGATCTCTTGTACATCATCGCGGGGCCCTCTGTCCACGGAACCTTCTGCTATTGGCCGCTGGCCTTTGGACTTATTGTGCTGCCGTTCATGTGGCTCGGCGCACTCAAAGACTTATGGTAATACTTTCGATAGCTATCCACTTCTTTAACACGACATTATCTGGACACGTAGGCCTATAAATCCGAGATTTGGCGAGGGCGAAATTTCAAACTTGTCGAAAAGCTGAAATAAGAGCTCCAGAACCAATATCAAAACTACAACAAAAACAAACATAACACACGAAAGAAAGTTAAAGACACGGTTCTAAAATAAATTGAAACGAAAATAATTCTTGTTTCAAAGTGACTGCAGAATAGACTAGGCGCTGGCACAAGAAAGCAACCAATTACGACACTTGGTAATATTTTTTTTTTCTTTCTCCTGTTAAGGCAACTCGGTGCAATAAGTTATTTGGGCTGTTGCCTCGCTATGGTCTTCCTACTGATCAACGGTGCCCGGCAGATTCCCAAGTCGCTGGGCTGGCGGCAGCATCCTTTCAACCAGTGGAACGTCTCACTGGACACCAGGGACAACGACCCGCCCTCGTTCTACCTGGGCTGGCTGGTGTCGCTGGTGTTCTCCACGTCGCTCTTCATGGTGTCCTTTCATTTTGCCATACCAAGCATCCAACGGGGCATGCATCGGCCCCAAACTTTCAACAAATGCCTGGTTACCATCTACTCAGGTATAACAACGTTATAGACTTTTTTGATGACGTCATGTTTTCCTGCCTTTAACAAAGCCTTTTTTGCCCGTCACGAGCACAATCTCACCTACCAGTAGCTGGCAAAACTATGGCTAGCCCTGACTACAAAACTGGAAAGAATAATTCAAGAAGTGACAACATACTTATTTAATTATTGACACCCCAAATAAATTATTTTTGTATTAGATACTAAACAAAAAATGCGTCTCATGTTTGAAATCAAGGAAGCAAAATGTGCATATTGAGGAAAACATCTTTGCCAATAAAAGGTAAGCTTCCTGCAAACTTTGGCGGCTCTACAAAGTGGTTTTCAGTGTCGGTAAACAAAATAATGTTTATATCCCCAAATGGTGACCTGCCTTTGGAGGTCCTGGACCATTGAGGGTTTTTTTGTCAATTTCAGGAGCTACTAACCGATTGCTATACTCAAAGATGGACGTCCCCTATTTTAGTTTGCCTATTTAAGGGCCTAGTTTAAAGCGAAATGATTTTCCATAATGTAAAAACCATGGAGTTATGTTGGTATAATTCAATACCCTAGGTGTCAGAGGACTACATGCAGTCTGGAGTGGTCCACTGATAACATAAAGGGTTTTACATGAAAAACGTAGTTTTTATAGTGAAAATAAAATCTTTTCTCCCCTTCATATAGGTCACTGACTACAATTAATGAACGGCGTATTGATAAGTGCTCTGGTTACAGTGTATGTGTTTTGAAGTCCTCCTGAATAATTATGACCGCTGAGATTACATCTTTTGTCATCTTACATTCTAGTGTTCAGTTTGATAAGCATCCCAACCCTCCTTGTAGTCTTCTTTGGCTTCGGTCATCTCTTCGCGAATTTCAAGGACAGCGGAGTCAGCATCCTGTACATCATGCCCAGAGATGACATGGTCATCACTCCTGCGTTCTTACTGCTGGTTAATAGTCTAATGCTCATGGTTCCCGCTAGCAATCCGCTCTTTCAACACTATGAGGAGATACTCAATATCCCTGAAGGTGAGACCGCAAAATATATCAGTGCTGAACGCTTCCCAAGGCTGGGGAGACGTCGAGGACTAATGATCGCATTTCCCAGATAGTTGAGCGAGGAAGCCGAAGGGACTCTGTTGCGGCTCTGGCCCAACATATCAAGAGTGAAAGGTTAAGAACATAACTAAAAGGTTTTCATCGGAGGTCTGGTTCAATTTGGTTCCCTCGTTAACATTGCCTTCAAGTAATCTTATCTCCTTTGGGAAAATTGTGTGGCCATTTTAATGCCTTTGGAGAAAATCCTACCCTTGCAAATATATTTATAATTGTTGGATGAACAAAATCAAGGAGACATATTGATAAAGAAGACAGTCTTTCTGTCGGTTTAACCGATTAACGGTTAATCGGTTAACTGTTTTTTTGTTTGACTTAACCACCGGAAACAGCTTAATCAGATTTTTTTTGACTGTTGACATCAAGAATGGAATACTGCTCTTTGTGGACCCCTTCGTACGTCCTTTGCACTGACACTGTTCCATAATCTTTGGCCAGTGTCTTTGTTCAGCGACCCTCAGTCTTGAATCTTTACTGCTGCCTCTGTGAGCTGTTTTTTCATTTTTCTACATGGTAGAATGCGGGTGGAAGCGCCTGGTGTTCCGAACTCTCGTCGTTCTCCTGGAGATATTCTTTGCCGAGACGATACCTCAGTTCTCTGTCTTCATTGCCATTCTCTCGGGACTGTTCATCCCGCCTCTGACGTTTCTCGCGCCGGCGCTATTCTACCTGAGACTTAGGACCATGCACAGGGCAGACAGTTCATCAACTCGTCCGTGAGTAGCTTTGTTGGATCCAAGTAGGGTTGGAAGTATTTTGCAAAGAGGGTATGCCAGACAAACGTAATGATGATTTTGGTCGTGTGGATTTTTGTAATGATTGGTAGAATAATTAAAATATGCTGGTAATAATGTTTTCGTTGATTGTGATTGTGAGAGAAAAAAATTGTTCTAGTCATCATATGGTGACTAGCGGTTTTAGCGATTGAAATAATGGGCGGTAGGATGTCTTGATGGATTGATGTTATGATTGTGTTGATGACGACAGTTGGTAATGGCTGATTAAAAATAAAACATGATGAAAGTAACAAAGCAATTTTTTGTCTTTCCATGCTCGTAGATTTCACCATATGTGTGAGACCGTGGCCTGTGTGGTCTTGATAGTCGCTTCTCCAGTCGTCATGGTTCTCACCATTGTCATAACCTCGGAGGCCATTGCAGACGGTGATACACTGTTTGTGGCGCCATGTTACGTCGACCCGAAAGCAGCTCACGTGTAATGAAAACGCGGGTGGATGGGGGTCAATAAACCCCAAAAGAAAAATGCTTAAGTTTTGAAAAATGATGAGAAACAGATCGATTGTGGGAACCATTTCACTTGCCATCCTTCCAAAAGCATGTAAAAGTCTCATCCATCAGAAAGGCCATAAAAAGGTTAAATGAAAGAAATTCACAAATGTTTTAGCAACCCCAGGCCCTAACCCCCAAAATGCATTGCCCTGAATCTGCCTTTGAGTGGAGAGGCAGGGTAACTTTTAGCTCTTTGAAACAGGTACCTTTGATTGTTGTGCTGAACACGCCAGTCTGACGATAACAGGTCAGTGATTGCTTTGTGTGGCCAGAAAATTTCGTAGGCTTATTCAGCCTACTCTAATTTGGGCACCAGCAGCAATTTCATTGCGGTTGGAGTTAGTGCTTGAGTCTCGCATTTCCTTTTGATGCTCGTTTGAAGTTTTATCTCAAACTAAAATTCTACGAGAGACTCTCGAAATTTGAAAAGCGCATTTTATAGGCAGACTGTGACTGTGTTTCCATTATAGGCCCTAAATGTTTCTTTTAACCCGAATTTTTCGTAGGCCTGAGAAACAGTGTAAAAAACTGGTCCTACTGGATAATCCAGTGTTTGTTTGAGCGTTATAGTGCACAAAAATAGGGCTCCAAATTTCATGTGAAGTTAGGAAATTGTTTCAACCCGAGTTGGCAGTTTTCTCTCATAACACCACCCTCTTGATGGGCTCGTAACAATTATCAATGTAAACCGTCTGAGGTGTTCATGAATATAATACATTAAACAATACATAATTGCATCTTTCAGCCTGCATATTTTTTTTACAATAAAACAGAAACTATCCGATTTCCTTCCAAAATTTAAACCAACGTAAGTAAAACTTTAGCCATTAAAGTAAAGTTAAATAAATGACATTCTCAAGATGTACCTGCACAATAAACGGCATTAGCATTGTATTATTTGCAATTCCATTTTGGTCGAAGCATCGACCTGTAACATATCTTTATGTTATTTAATATGTACTTTATAATAACATATAATGCAATTTCAGGTAAAGTAATATTCTAATATGTATCCGTCAGTCATCTGCATTAACGAGAACTTTATTCTATAATGCATGTTTGAAAATCGCAGAATTAAGAAACCACATACCAAGCCTATTTTTCAGAATATTAAGCCGGGCACAATATTGGGTGTCGCCTGCAAAGCAGTTTTATGCAACAGACAGTAGCCAGCGTATAGCAGCGATCGTGAGCTATAGTGTCATTTGCCTAGTTGAAGTCTGGCCGTCACAGAAGGAGGCCACTATTTGAAGGGGGGGGGGGAATTCTCCCAATTTGTATAACCACATACTGCCCTTTCATTGGCATTCTACAAAAAGGAACAAAAACTAATAAATCTTAGGACTGCCTGAAAAACAAGCAGTGCATTTAATGGACAACCCGCAAGAACCGGTGTTGCACGGAAAATTTGTAATAAAGATATGAATAACTATCGAATTTAAAAATCACGAGAAACAAAAGGTGGAATCACTTCTACAAACCCCACCCTCTGCCCTGAAACCGCAATCGTGAATGTCAAATCTTTTCAAAAGCTTTTGGGAGATTATTTCTAATTACAAAAACTGTACTCTATGCCAGCACCAGAGATTGAATGAGCAGATACCTGAGAAATATTCGGAAGAAAAATGTCACTTTATGATTAAATGGCTTGTTCATTCCCCTTTAGGATCATTTATAAAATGATCGACTTGTCTGTCATCACCTCTTATGATACAAGGATGTCGAGAAGTTAACTGATGCACAAATCATTCCAAAACATTCGAGAGCAGCCTCATTTACTGGTCGCCACAAAATGAATATCCTATGGCCAGTTGCCATGCATCTTCTTACGAGTAAGTATCGCATGCAATACCTACCAGCAGAAACTTGTCTCATTCTCGGCGAAGTAAAAATAAAGTGCTCAAATAACTGAACCGGATGGCCACAATTTACCACTACAATAAAGGTGGATTTTGAGTTAACAGTCGAAGGCTTAGAATGTACTCGTCATAAGGAGGGTAACATGGCCTTAATTGCTTTACAATGCTAATGACTAACTAAGTAATTCGCACACGGATTTATCTGCCATGGAGAGGATCCGGAACCGATAAAAGCAGTGCAGTTATGGTGACAAAAGGAAATTTGCTCGCCAGATGACCCATTTACTCTTATTCAAGACTTTCAAAAAGTTGGGTGATAATTACAGTCTCTACTCTTGAATGATCTTGTTCTCGAGTAGCGTTTTGAAAAACATTAGGTCTTAGGTATGTAAGAGAGGCCTCTTCAGTATATTCCGCTTTGCATTCCATAGACGTATCCTGACTTTTAAATAACGCAGGTAACCACAAGATTTATCAAGCATTTTTACCATGGCTTCAGGTCACCTTTGTCAGAAGGATCAGATTCCCGTTTTTCTAGGGTGGCATGGTGATTTTGGATAGTGTACCATTGTGACAAAATTCGTGATTTCGGGGCAGCACATTTTATTCTCGAGCTGACAACATAAGTCTAATTAACTCGCAAAATATACTTAAGAATTGACTGCTGTGATGTTGGATAGGATGTTTTTACAACCAAGGGACTCATAGCACCCAAGGCGAAGCTGAGAGCGCTGCGTTTCCCGAGGGTGTTTGGAAATCACACCCCACAGTCACAAATCGCACGCGTCTTGCTCGAAAGAGATATCTTCACGTCCTAAAAAAGTTTAAGAACGTTATGAGTAAAGGAACTTCGAACATAGATTCAGTGCGGAATAACTTTGGCAAACATAAGTTTTCCACCAACAGTCGATCGCAACGTACATGTATATACGCATACTAGTTCGCTACAGAGTACCACTATTAAACGTACACGACCTGTTTGTGGTGTGTGATTCGATGGCCCTCTTGCATTGACTCTAACACAAACCGAGGCTGCTCTGAGCCCAGCAAGCGCTGTAACAATTGTGAATGGACTGGAACTCTTGAGTCCTAAAGAAAATACCACTAGTAGCAAGCACCTGCATCACAAATAGAAAGGGTTCAACAGACACCCTAAGGAATGCCACACAAATAGTGATCTCTATGGACGTGGTATTTTCACACGGAGTGGAATAGTCGCGGACCAGCTTATAAAAGCCATTTTATATTGAGAATAATAGGTATTATTTCCACCTCCCACAAAAAGTGGGTCACCTTGTTATTTGGCTATAATAGCTGCCTTTGTCAGGCAAGGACGGACCCAGAACCGAATTTTCGGGCTGCCAAACTTGGCAGGTTTGTAGATAGTAGCACCCCAGTAGCGACAGCTTGATTACGTACCATAGGTCTACTTAAACTTCATTTATTTATGCACGCCGACATTGACGCAAACGACAAAACTTGTGCAGACAGTTGAAATTATTTGAGTAATTTTTCTTGCCAGCGTAACTTTAGCTAGTGTTTGTTCTCATAGTTTGAACTCAGTGGTCCTCCCAAGACGATCCCTCGAATCAGCAGTCTACCAATCCAAGGGCAAATCGCCCAGTTAACTATCAATATTAACCTTACCAATTGCAGCCCCTGATAGTGTTAAAAAAAATAGTAATCAGTCATTCTGACACGAAACCATTCGGGGGGCTGCTGTGCCTTGCCTTGCCCCATTAATATGTCAAGCTGGAGAAAAATCTGCTTAACAACACAATAAGAAATAGGCAACTATTGTATTCCAAGGCCAGCCAATTCTTTCAAAGCTTAGAGTTATTTTTTGAATTCCCTTTTGCCTCTACGCGTATTGTGTGGGCCTGTGTACAATAAAAGCTATTCTTATGCTAATCCATCTCAGTCTGGATTCCTTTGCAGTCGAAGTCCGTGAAGGTTCACAGATTTTTCTTAAAAAGGACACGTACAACTTATGTGACGGGTTGAGTTGCAGGTGAAACTTAGCTGTTGGTTTTGTCCAACGTTGCCCTACCCTTAATTCAGGGGTTGTCTGCGCTACAGCACCGATACAAAATGGAGGTGAACGGTGGGCCTGCTCCCGCCAAGCAAGGCGCGGACGATGACCAGACGATCCCGTTGCAGAAATACAGGACAACTCTGTACATGAATTCTGACCAGGGGCCAGAAAAGCTTCAGACCACAGGGCCGGTTCGTACACTGTGTCTGTGTTTGGGTTGAGGGGATATTAAACTAGACATGCTAGCTGCCATGTAGTCGGGCACTAAGTTAATTCATGCGGAAGAATTACCAGTATGTTTCGAAGCTTGCATTCATGCTTACTACTCGGGTTATAATAGCTATCAATCATCGAGCGAAATCGATTTTTCCAAATCATGCACACGAGGATAAAACACCTTGGCTCCAGTTGGGATCAAACGGGTGACTTCATGCATCCAATATAGATCCATTTTGATCACTGACATTTGAATTTGGATTAATCGATTCGCATCCACCAAACCGTCTAAATGGTGTAAAACCGGGCCATAGTAGTAAAAACAAATGGTGCCATAATAAAGTTTAGGGCCATATACTTGGACTAACGCCAGATATTATATATCTTCTATACAAGACTTGAGGTGAACATGTTTAATTCTACTTTTTTCCTGAAAGAAGCAATAACCTTTTTTTAAAAAAAAAAAACCCAACAGTTAGACCCCTTGTTTATGCTTATATTCTTGCCAAATCACACACACCTTGTCATGGTCTTAATGCATAAACACAATAAAATGTTAGGTGCACTTTTCCAAAAGAATTATGTAATAAAGGCAATTCGAGATTTCACCAGTATTTACAGAATATGTACAAAAATTTATTCCAGAATCTTATGAATTTACCATGGCCAATCAGCTGTTCGATACAAATCCTCTTTCCCTCACACGCACAGTGGGAACGAGAAAGTTGCAATATCTACAATTATCAATCAATTTCTCAACCCCCCATTACAGGTTAGTTCCGATTCTGATCACTCAAGACACATCAGGTTTCAAATTAATCCATAGAATTCAGCTTTCAATATCTCAACGGAGTTGCTATAAACTAATATAGACAAAGCCTGTCAATTTTAAAGTGTGCTTTTTAGAGTGCTAGAAGTTCATTTATTTATTTGATTGGATACTCAGGAAAAAGGAACAACAAAATCGCAAAAAAGTAAGTTATTGATAAAAATGCAAAGCGAAAACACAATCTAGATGCTGATTGCTATCGCACGTAACATCGCGTTTAAGTTGGACAAATAACGATCGAATAAATTTTAAACTCGGGCTGGGTCCAAAGTTATGACCGCGAGGGGACAAACATTTCACTCATGGAGGCTACTGGCTAGTGGGAGGAGCTACTTCCCATCGGAGATGTATGTTGATCGAAGTCACAGCCTGTAACTTTGACAGGGCCGGGTAGCACTTTCTTGTTATTCTCAATGTCACACATTCAGAATTGACAATACTAGTACTGTTTGAACAGACTTATGTAGAAGCACAAAGTTAGGCAACAGTGTACAGCCTACATGAGTCATGCACTTACGCACAGACCGTAGTATTATTGTTCTGAACAATACGGGCGTTTCACAAGTGCACCTCCAAGAGTTTGCAAGTCGTCGGCCAAACACAATGCGCAAAATCTGTTGACCCAATGCGCATTTGGAAAGAGTCGACAAATTTCGCGCGTTGTGATTGGCCAATGCGTTTCAACCTCTTGGTGACGCGCTATTTTATATCGCACGTATTGTTGTATGAGAACTTAAATAATCTAACCTGAACATCAGTTATGAACAAGTTACCATAACCGTAACCATACAACTTTGGTGTTTTTCATTAAATGTTTGGGTTTTAGGGCTTGGCATCATTCACTGACGTGTGCTAATGCAAAGTAAACATAAACTTTTTTAACAGGAATGAAAGTAACCGGCAGATTAAAGGTATGAGGCACTTTAACACAAAGTCCAGGTCCCCAACTGACTTTTGTTGAAACCTCCTTCGGCATTCATGTCGGCGTGAAACCAGACATCTTTGGCACTTGTAGTGAATCCAGGGGTGCAGGAATGAGGCAATTCAAGCGTGTGAGCTCCTGCAGTGCCATTCACGGAGCTCTGACTCTGAAGGTCTCCGCCGACCAAGTTTAGAGTTTTCTCGCTGTCCCGTTGGCAGTTCACGCTTTGCACTGTTTTCGCTTCACTTCACTCACCCATACTCTGGTGCGGTATGACACCACAGTTTCATGGGGCCTGGGGAATTTTGACGCTGACTGCGCTGAGTATTAAACGATACCGACAGTTTCGATTTCTTAGAAATCAACACAAAAGACAGCACACTCCTTTCGTTTCAGAAGTTTAAGACGGCACTGTATACCAAGACAGACACGGGAGATATGGTGGAACTTAATTTAAATGATGACAGTGACGCAGATGATAGCAGGAAGGTACGGGAACAAGATGTGGTTGATTATTCTCTTGAACTCCAACTGCTATTAGTTAAAGGACGTTTCAGTTAAGTTATGATGAATACAAGGATTGCGTGTTGTTATCGACAGGCCTGGGATGGGGTCTCTCTTTTACTCATGTGAATTCCAAAACATTCGGGCCCTAACATTTCTTTAACACAAAAGCCACTATAGTGCCACGAACAGTATACATTTTCAAGAAGTGAAGTCCTTATTTACGAGCTGAATTTTTTCTTGTTCGATTCTACAGGATCTCATTCAATGAGCATTGTTCCTGTTTTTTGAAAAATCGTTTTCACAAAGTATATTTTCAAGTTTGTCTTCTGGCCTCTTTTCCATTAGCTTCGTTTTTATCCAGATACACAGCCGAGTCTGATTTACACGTTTGAACAGTCATGCTCCAAGAACTAATTCGTTTTTAATTAAATTTATTTTGAAATAACCATAACTTCTTTGTTGTCAGACCAACATCACCTGCATCGTATGCTTCGATGGCTTAGACCCCTTCGCCGATTATCTCATTATAAAGACATAAAAACGAAAGTGGCAAAAGTACCAGTATTTCTTATAAAAGCACAGTTTGAAATTTGCTTTAAATAATTTTCAACTCTTTAAAAATTTCTTTTAAAAATGGCACAAATGGGTTCTCGTATTGAAGCACAAAGTGCGTGACCTTGTTGAGTGCACTAAGCGCCCATTCACCGAGGGTCTAAAACTCAACAAGTCTGCATCAATTTGCAAGGGGCCGGAAAGCTGTTGGTTAACTCTGCGAAGTCAGCAACCTTGCAGAGTGTGTGGCGCCTTTCAAAACCAAAGAATCTCTATAGCTTTGAATACACGCGTTTACATATGGCTCTTTGATTAGCCTCTGTTGTGACATGTAACTGAGACTGGAAGGGGTTGAATTAGACTGGCTGATTTGGCTGTAAGAAGGCCTAGATAAACCAGCTCATTTGGGATTGAGCAAGGTCATATTCCATGGAAACCTTGAAATGTCTTTAGAACCAACACTAAGGGGGGTATCCTCATACAGACTGGAATATTTCCTCCCGCAAGCTAATTTCTCTTTCCCTAACCAGCTAGGTAATATCTGAGCTCAGTTTATACATACCTGGGAAGAAAAGAACCGGCGAAAAACCACTTGTGGTTCGAAGAAAATGATATTCTGCTTAATCCCTGTCTGCGTGGGCCTAACGGTATGAAAAGACTGGACTTACGTTGCAACTATTATCAGAAACGACACACAGCCTAAAATCGCTAATCACCTAAATTATATTTTGCAAATTTTGCAAATGTGTTTTATTTTTACTGTATAGTAATTTTAAAAACACTTGTTTTGTTTTTTTTTACTGATCGTAGCCCTGTTGAAGGGCAGGGAGCCCATGTAATCATGGGAGAAGGGGAGGTGCTTAGAAATATTTTTTGAAAAAATTAAAAATAAAATGGAAAAACAGACTGAAAATCACCAATTTGCTCGAAAACCTCAAAATCGACCCTTTGTATCGTTAATGGTTTATCAGTTTGTTAATAGTTTATCAGTTGGCAGCTGACGAGTTGTTTGCTTCCTGGAATTCCCCCCGGAAATAGATGTCTTGTCCATGCGCCCCAGAAAAACCCTTGTGATGCCTATTAGCCTAATAATCAAAAACTTGAAATCATGTGCTAAAAGGAAAGAACAAATAGGGAATTGTATAGTAGAATCCACACATCGCATTGTCTTTTGATTCATGGCTCTCATTCTTTCCTGGATAAAGGAAGATCGAGCTCGACCAAAGACACCGACAGGGCATTTAACCTAATGTGGTTTTTCATTTCTTTCCTTCCAGCGTCACGAAGGTCTCAATTTCCAGCAGACAATATTTCTCATTGCTGGCTACTGCCCAGGTTTTGCAGCAACGATTATGATGGTAGCCATCGTCAACACAGGTGAGTGAATTCAAACTTTTGGGGGTGTGATAGTCTGAAAAAGAATTTTATTTTATAAACCTTAACAGTCCAAAATCCTCCGATTTCAATATGATTTTACATACACCCAAGGGGATTAATATACTTTTCCAGTCTTGGCTAAATTATGGAATTTCTAATGAAAACTTGGTTTCCAACAAGTATAACGAGTTTTATTACATTAAAAAACTGTCATTAGAATAAAATTTGAATTTGAATAAAATCTGGTACACTGAGTTCTTTAAATTCATATGATCGTAACAATTTGTATTTTCCATACTAAACACACCATTGCTATACCTCTTTATTCGGGGCAAGCTTTTCCTAAGTTGCATAAGAGACGCCTTTCCCCAATGCACTGTTTTCAATGGATAAGAAGGGCACAATGGAACCATTTCAGGGCTCTATCAGCTTGCCCCAAATCACTTGGTATAGAAACACTATTTTTAGTCTGGGGAATTTAAATGGCTATGTTAAATTAATGTGCAGTGAATTAACTCATTGTACCAGATTTTATTCACATTTAACTCGCAAAAGGCTTATTTCACAGATTTTTATTTTCAAATTTGCCCAGTTGAATCTATTATGTGCACTCTGATTTTGTCACACAATTTCAACTGTTGTTCAAGCGATTTCAAACCACGAGAACACATTTTCGGGGAAGGGTGTTCTACTGTGTCTCGCTGACATCAAGCCTTGTTACCCAGAAAACGAATTTGTCTTTTGTCACCAAATTTCATCGCTTGTTTGTTAAATGTTGTCACAATTCATTGTGACATGTAGGAGGGTCAGTGGTTGTTGATAAATTGCACCGTATCTTTTTGCTGTTGTCCTTGCGATTCAGAAATGAAGAGTTTGTTTCTTTTCATTATTTTTCTTAAATACGTGCTACACTCATAAGCAACTCTTGAGGAAACAACGGTCATTGCATTGATTTTTATATACATATCCATTATCGTCAATATAAATTATCCATTATCACCTTTATTTTTAATGAACTGTGCAAATCGTTCCTCAGGATACAAGAAAATGCCTGAGTGCCTGCAAAACGAATTGACATTGAGAAAAGTTTCAAAGTAATTGATAAAGAACGAATCCGATTTCTGTATACGTTGTCATTCAGTAACAGCTTAGACAAATTTCACTTTTCTCGACACTGAGTTCAAATGTGACGACAAAGCTTTGAAATATTATGGTAAATCATGCAAACAGTTTATCCACAAGCAGATGGAATTCTGTGACGAATTTAGACTTCAGAATTCCTGATTTAGATAGAACATTGTTTTTTAAATTAGTTGGGAAAACCTATATATACATGTCTCTTTCTACGAGGAAATTATAACATTTCTTTCTCTTGACGAAATTAGATGTTAGGGTAAGCATCCAAAAGTCTGTACCGGGGAAATTAAAAAAAAACTAACCTTTTCTTCAATTATCTTTTTAGGGTGGGTAGGCTTTCTGGTTTTTGCCGCCCTCATATTTCTCTTGGCCTATGCCGCCATACTGCTTGGAAGCTGTTGGAATATGGTGCGAGTGGCGTGGTTTGAAGACCTCAACCCTTATGGCGCCATAGCCTACGAGGCCTGCGGAACCTGGGCCAGGTGAACTTTTTTTATACCAGCTGAGGGGGCAGTGATATCATTGGTAATATTTGTGTCGAAAACAGCAAAGAAAATGTACCATAATGTGCTTTAGATGTGTGCTCATTGTAGTCGTTTTAAAAAGGTGCTCGATAATAATGTCACTGTTTAAAAAACGATATTTTGAGCAATGTTGCCTATTGAAAGCAATTAATACTCGAGCCCCTTTGTCAATGAGTTGTGTTGATTTAATATGATTGTCTTGTTGATCTCATCGGTTGTCTTGTGCTGTCTAGACTGTGCTCTCTGGCGAATGTGCCGCTAAACTGTGTTGCTAATTTGCCAATGTGGCCCACTGCGAATGTATTATCTAATGTAGTGAAGCGATTATTTAAAACAATGCTGCAGGATCAATGTACATGTAAAAGTTCTTCCCTCATGTTTGAATGTACATGTACATGCTATTTGGAAACACGAGACAGCTTAAACACTGAAATACACTGAAATACCTCAATTGAAAAATATTCGTTTTCAAGCACGCTGCTTAATCTAACATCCAGGCACACGGTGAACGTTTTGGTTGACCTGGCGAGTTTTGGTGGTGGAACGGTCATGCTTCTGGCAACCTCGGAACTGATACTCGTGGTCATTGGTCCTCAGCTGTACGGCACCTATTGCTACTGGCCTCTCATCATAGGAGCCATAATGTGCCCAGCGATATGGGTAGGGATGCCCAAACATTTCTGGTACGTAAATCCTCCTCATCTTCATTGAATTTGAAGCATTCACGCGAAAGATATTGCTCATGTGAAAATACAGATAGACGTTGTCTTTTCAGCATCAAATAAATCATAGGCAACGTTTTACAACCAAGTCTAGTTAATTAAAAAGTGCCGAAGCTCTAAAAATTCTCAAGAAGTGAAGCCAACCAAGCAACCCTCAAGTAAAAGACAAAGTCAAAAAAAAAATGGAAAACTAAGACATCCGAAGTAGGCTAGTTGAGGGGGAGAGCATGGATAAACCCCAAAGAACCTAAGTGAAACTGGCGACTCTTCAACGGTTCACTGACAGGACCTCATTGATATAGAAACCGAAGACGGGTTTACCTTTATTCAAGTAAGATTAGTTTGCTACGTTAGATCTGGATCCACAATTTATTTAACCAGAAGGAAAGCAAACCAAACCAATCCACTCACCACACATTTGATTTAATAAAGCAAAAAGCCTTTCATTAGCTTAGTAGACGTGTGTCTACTCTTGGTATGCCACAGTCGCATATTTTCGTCCACAAGTGATTGGTAGTATATGGTCAGCAGCCGGTACGTAGGCAAAGACAATCTACTGAGCGTAAAAAATATGCAGCTATCAAAAAATCTAAATAATGCATACCATACTACTGAATACTTCTTGAAAACTTGACCTTATTTATGTGTTGTGTATTATTTCTACCAACCAAAATTCTGCCAACCATGATTGCCAAAGAGGGCGCTTGTAACGTAGCGACGGTATATTGGCATTTCGTTTGCTTAGAGCATTTACCGTCATTATGGTGGGCCAAAGACTGCAGAGAGTTTACTCTTGTGTGGCAACTACCCTTACTTTAAAACGCATAATTTAATTCATCAGTATATAAACAGGCAGGACCTTTTGAAAGTATTTGGACAGAAGTATTCAGTCCTTATTGCTTTACTATTTGCGTATTTTTTTTGGTAATTTCTAAATTATTCTCTTGGTTTTGTACTCATCAGTCAGCTATGTTCCACCAATCACTGGTCGAAAAATTGAGCTTGTGACTTATGGCCTGCTTGTTTCACCTGGATTGCGATCAGTGATCCGTCGTTGGCTCGCTGACACCAGAAGTTATGGATGCAGCAAACCAGCGTTGGGATCAGTAATCGAGATCCAGATTCGTGCGAAACAACCAGGCCGATGACAAGAGAAGGGCCTCTTTCCGGTTCAAATGTTCGCATTTTTTCACATGCTTCAGGTTACTCGGGGCGCTGAGCATCGTCACCACTTTGCTAGCCATACTCCTCATCTTCATCGACGCAGCGATCTACCTGCACGGGAATGGACGGGCCCTTGCCGAGTTCCAGCCACCCATTGAGTCCTGGGCTTTTGGCAAGCTCATCGGTGCTACAATTTTCCTGCTTGGTGGGCACTTTGTCTATCCTGAGATTCAGCGGGCCATGAAGGAGCCGGGGAATTTCGATCGGAGCGCCCTCACGACTTTTCTACGTGAGTGAAAAAAAACACTGTTTCAGCAGGTATCTTCCTCAAAACTTTCGAAGTATTGAAACGGTTTCAGCCCCAAACTTCTCCAGCTGTACTCTAAAATTCGATGAAAAAAATTCTGAGAATTAAAAAAAAAATGGACCGCGTACACCACCAAGAATAATAGTCGGTTTAACAATGATATAAATCCTTTTGGGATGCGGCGCTGTACTCAATATTTATATTGCATCCAGACTGACAATAACTTGTAAGAAAGAAAGTGTAAAAGACATATATTGATGACTTTAAATCCCTGAACAGTCTCTAATGAAACCTTTGTATATGGGGCAATGGAAAATCCAAAGATGTCTTCAGAAGTGTTCAAAAATCCTTTTTGAGATAATAATACGGTAGTGAGGATTGAATACTGATCTTGTAGTCGAAACTGCTCACAAGGTTCAATGAAGTTGCCTGAAACATATTGGGCGAGTGGATACCATGATTGTTTTCGTTTTGTCAAAATACTAGTTCGAAACTTTCTACACCAGCATTGAAGTTTATAGGAGGAACGATCTTATATTTCTTCAACCGTAAAGACCAGATAACAATTGGTCACATCCGTCCTTTGCCCAACAGTGATTGTCGTCTTTCTCTTTCCGACCTTGCTGGTTGTCTTCGTCACCTATGGGGACATAATTGCCCCGAATGATATCGACCTGGAAGCCGGCCTCTTGTCGGTTCTCCCCCGGGGCGCCTTGGTGGTGATTCCTGGCCTACTCTTGCTGATCAGCAGCGCCTCCGTCATGCTAATCATCATCAACCCACTCTTCAGTCATCTTGAGGAGGTTCTGAACATTCAGGAAGGTACAGTGTGTAATGCTAAAACAATGGATAGTTCAGGATGGGTGCCGTGCCCATCCCATTTGTGCTTATTCAATCAAAAAAATCTTAATAAAATCCTGACGCTTCTATCAGACTACGGAATTCAATAGTTAAGTTCTTTAATGAGAGTGTGCCAATTTCTGTGGAACTGTGAGTAAATCTTTTCTCTATGCAAAATGTTTGACGGAAGCACATACACTTGCTGTAACTAATGACTGTGAAAAAAATCAATGCCTTACTCAGGGATGGAGAAGCACTAAAGTTTAAACCAAAAAACCTCGGACGTCATAACAGGCTTCTCTCCTAAATTTCACCAGTGTCGGAACTGAACTACTGAATCATGTTTCAAATTCATCAAAATTCATCAAGCTTTTAAGTTGGCTTTGCAAGAGTGAGACAGAGTTCTCAGCTGGTAGTGCACCACAGTGGATTTTATAAACCAAGCAGGTGGCATTAATGCCCATTTCTCGCCCCGACCTCCAACCTTGGGTGACACTGATGTGACCCAGTTGCATGCAGCAGACATCTGTATAGTGGATGAACTTCACAAGACATATTGCATGTCAAGCTCGAGTCTGGTCAATTTTTTTTTACATATCATAGGAAAAGCCTGTGATGTCAGTAAGACTGGACAACTTTTAATGGACTGGATTAAAGTATGTTGGCTCAGCCCACCGTGTAATTTTTCCTGCAGATTTAAACCTCAGAGGTTTGGATCTGCATAAGAGCTAGCTGGCGCACCTCGAAGGTTCAGCCGAAACAGGCAACCAACAAACAAAGACAATTACTAAACCATATAGTTTACTCCCCTTCCGACTTTTTCTAGGTATTAATTGGAAGCGCATCCTCCTTCGTACTTCTGTCATCATCTTGATCGTCTTCCTGGCGGAAACGGTGAACGAGTTCGCCTTGCTCGTCACCGTGGTTGGAGGCGTCGTGTTCCCTTTGCTGACCTTCCTGGCTCCCGCTGTGTCTTACCTGCGACTGCGATCCATGCATATGCCTGACAGCTTCTCAGAGCGCCCGTAAGATATTTTTCCTCGACTCGTAAAGGGTCTACGCAGTGCGATTGTTTTACTTGACCTTACCCTTTTTTCACCTTATTTTCAATTTTCGTTTGGCTGTTTTAAAAGGCTTTTTTGTTGTCGTTGTGGTTTAATACTTAAGTAAATTTCCAAAGGCATGAACAAAACTGCGGTAATGATCCATTTATGTCGAAGCTGGCGTTAAGCCAACTAGCAACCATTCTCAAAAATGTTTTTCTGAGAGCATAAGAAGAGGACATAGCAGCAAGGTGGACAATTTCAACAGTTTAAGAATATAACGTTTTTCAACACAACCTCAAAAGAATGCCAGAGTGCCTTCATACATTGAAAAGGCGCATAATGTTTCACAAAACGTGTGTCCAAGAAATTGTCATCGCTCTGTCCTTTCAAACCTCGAAAGTGAAAACAGCCACCTACACGGAACTCAGTCTATCGCACAGTATTTTACAACCTAGTTGACATCTTAAACATCATGAAAGGCTATCTATTTAACCGGCTGCACGTATCGTGGAGTTTGTGTCGCCTTCCTGTATGCATTCTACTTCTGAAGGTTGAGAGGAACTATTCTGTGTATGGTCCAAGATTTTCAGTTTGGGAAACGAGAAGAGGAGTTGAAGGAAATTCCAGAGTGTTCAACTATGGTGAATGTAAAACAATCTACACAGGCGGTTTGTTAAGATTCGTCAGTAAGGATGGAAAGGGACAACAGAATTATCATGCCAATCAAGTTTCATTTTTATGGGGAAAAACCAATCTGAACATACTATTTTATGAAAGTGAAATTGCATGTTAGAAGCAACCAGGAAAAGATCTTGTAAAATCCAACTTCAACTTAGTTGACAAGGTTATTATAATCTTCGTACAATAATTGCGGACTTACACAGACGGGGGGGGTCAGTGATTAGAGTAATTCGCCTGTAAATTCTTTTCTCTTTGTAGGAAAATGCACATCTTTGAGAGTATCGTCTCATTCCTCCTCATCCTCGTTACTCCGGTAACGGTCATCGCTGTCCTGGCCATTACCATCGTAGCTCTTACCAATGACCAGACAGGCTACGTGAAACCGTGCTATGTCCAGTACAACGCGACTAGCGTCGAATGGGCAAATGATACATTGCCGACCAACGCCACATGGGCAAATGATACATTGCCGACCAACGCCACATGGGCAAATGGTTCATCGCTGACCACTGTTGCCATGTGAGCAAAACCATGACGTGTTTACGAGAAGCCTTGTGTATTGTGATTAAAGTCTATTTGACAAAAAATGAGAGCAGTTTTCCAAGTAACTTTGAAGTGGCTGACAACTGAATTATAGAAATTTTTGACAAAATTGTTGAAATATTTCTCGAAGCGCAGAAGTGCAGGGTAATCCGGTATTCTGCAGGTGGTACTCAATCACAACATGATATTATAAACACTTTCATATTTTTGTAGGTTTTTATGTACATGTACTAACACAATCCACAAAGTGGAAAAAGAAACGCCAACCATCCCATTCAAGAATGTGCACGTCTATAACAAAAGAATATCACGGCATGTAATACTGGTAATGTAAATGATGGTAAAGTTGTGTAGTTATCGATCTACTCTTCTGCAGGATCAGCAGTACATGTTTTTGCTGTTACAGTGGAGTGATATTTTAAACAATGATTGCCTCGATGCTTCTGCCATAATCAAGAGCAGATCAACAAACAAATAAGCAAACAAACAAGCCATAAAAATAAACAAACAAAAACAAGTACACACACACCAATGAAAAAAAAAGCAATACAGATCGGAAAGTAAGCCGTTTGGGAGTAAGCAATAATGGACGGTTTCTTTTTGTTAACTCTATGGTCTTTCTGAGATGGTAGGCTAAATTGTTTGGTCGATTTTCTTGACACTTTAATTAAAGGGAGGAAAGTAAATGGAAAAAATACAAACCAGTATTCCCGTCTGCTTTGTTTGACCCCTTCTTCAAGACAAGGGAGGGAGTTGCTCATTTAGGTATCTCACAAGAGTTCATTGATAATATAATATGCTTTGCCTATAATTTGTGTATTATTTTGTATCTGTACAAAAATATTGGGTACAGTTACAAGGTGGAGGTGTAGCTTTCTTATAGTACTATATTTCCCTGTTAAAAATCGACTACAGATTCTTATCTTTAAATTATAGATTGAGGCATGAAATGTGGCAAATATACTTATTTTTTATCTGCTGTGCTATAAACGATAATAAGCACTTTGTGACATATTATTTGGTCAGTATTTGAAAAGTTTTCCTTTATTCCTTCTACGGCGCCTATTTAAAAGAGTATTTGTTTTAAATTCTTCAACTGGACAAAATTGTTAAACGTTTCTTCAAATAAATAAGTGTAAAAGACAATATTGGTCCTAGTTTAAAATCTCAAATATTAGGCTTGTCCACATTAGGATGCATAGTACAAACTTGCACACGTAAATTGTTGCCAAGTTAAGCCGTGTTTATATCTTAATATTGCACGGAGTCTTAATACTTAATCCTGAAAGAACTTAATTATGTATGCAAGGTACAAAATCACTCTCTGAAGAGGCTTTGAAGATTTTCAGAGGTGAGATGTAGAATATATGCGTTGCGTGTGCGTTGCTTAAATTTAATCTGGCCACAATGAACTTCTTTAACAGCATTAGAATTGGAATGCACTGATGTACGTTTGCTTGCATAAAAGAAAGCAAACCGTCTGTATTCTGTAATTTAGCAAGTTGTTTCCCGACATCACGAAAGGCTCACAAGAATTTGAGACACAAATAGAATTGCATGGGATCATGAAGGTCCTTTTCATGTGAAAGCAAATCTGACCCCTCTGTTTGCTCAAGGGTACATTAAACTATGAAATATTCGAAATCGCTTCGGATGCATTTGGAGCCCTTGGTGTCAGTTTCAAAGGTAATGTTCTCCTTTGGTTGGGTTCTGGGACGCCCTGCTGCTCCCCAACCTGACGTCTGTTGAGTCTCACTGTAAAAAATTAGAAATTTATCTTATAATTCATATTATTTAGATCATTTGGTTCGGATAGAGAAGGCTTATGTTCTTTTGGTTCCCCGCAGAAATTGCAAACCAGAGGAATAACGCAAGGATTCGGTTTGTTAAAAGTTTAAAGTCTATTAGCATTTTGATTCTTGTGTTTTGAGAAATAAAAGTTTTAAATAGCTTGCACTGAAAGTAAAAGAAATTATATATTCTATGTTTCTTGTATGTTCACAAAAATTCGTTTAGTATCAGTGGCGTAAATTTGTGCCAGAATTTTTTTTGAGGGGGGGCAGACTGTAAGAGATGCCTTGCCCGGCCATGAAAATTCGACAGTTGGGGGAAGGTGACACCATTTTACACTAAAAGAGGGCGATGTTAGTGATGTAGTGTGTATTATATTAATGCAGAATCTTACATCAGAACGGCATATTTATGGATTTTTTGTGTTCTCCTTTTTTGAGTACTATTCGGTACATTTTGGTTGTTGGGAAGCCGAAACGTTCTTCACAATCCACTCTGTTTCTTTCACACGATGAAAAAGTGGGGTAAGGGGAATGATTCAGTAGCCCATAATCCCCAATAAAAGTGGGGTGTGGGTGGAATATGTACCCCATTAGTCCGGGATTTATGCCCACGATAGTGATGATTTCCGCCGTTCAGTTGTTCAATGGCAGGACACTAACTTCATTCAAGCCTCTCGTATTTATTTTCTTTTATATTTTCACTGAGAAGTGACGACAGTATACTAGTTTTCGTTTAAAATTTACTAGTTAAGAGAAAACAAATATATCTGATTCTGGTCCGAGAAAAAAAATGGGATAGCAGTTTGTTCTTCAGACTTTTGTATGAACATTTAAAAAGCAACATGCTTCAACTGGCTCTGGAAAACATGTAAAGTATACGAGCTCTGCATTGCATCACAGCACTGAATGCAGTCTGACTTAAAGCCCAAACTAGAGCTTGACAAGAAGGATCAAAGTCTCCATCTAATTTCAGCGTCCCCTGCCCGAGCGTATGTTCGAGGACGGGACGGTCGCATTAAGATCTGTATTTAATATACAGTCAGTGGAAAGGCTGAGAAAAGAATCTGATCCCTGATCAAGCCAAAACTCTGTAACCGAGTGAGCTATCTGCGTGAGCCCAATTAAAATCTAGCCATCGTTTTCAGAATCCTTTGTTGGGAGGACCACCATCCACACTCTAAAAAGGATCAGTCAAATTTGACTAGAATTCAGTAAAATTTGACTAGCTCTTCAGGTTCAGCTGGGTGCAACTGAAATTAGCCAATCTGACTAGATCTTTTAGTCAGTTCATTGATATTTCAAAGGCATAGAATAGGAATCTTGTCAGAAAGGATGATTTGCCAACGTTAGCGTGGGTGTTTGACTGAATCCATAGGCAATTTTGAGCAACTAGGAAAGTCAGTCAACATTTTGACTAGGTTGCTTTAAGAGTGCATGCAGCTACAAATTCATGCTCTGCGTCACAACGGTGGAATTGTACATATAGGGCCTACAGTGGTGACCAAGGTTACATTGGCCGGACCATATTTCATATGCAGCTGGTAACAACAACAACGCAAAAAGACGGAATATGTGCGCCCGGCAAACAGATAACCAGTTAAAAATCTTATGCATTGTATATTGCCTGTGAATGTTGCAAAGAACGAAAGCCCTGGAGTGCCATCAAGTATATTTTTTGAAAAAGTGAAGGGTATTTTTTCCAAAATTTGTTTCTACGAGCTAAATTTTTTCGGAGGTTGTTTTTACGAGATATAGGGCCTATATTTTTGAGATCTCTCTCTTTGATCTATTATTAGAAACGTTTCTGTTTTTGGAAATATTTGTTTGTACGAGTGATACGCACAGTCACACTCGATCCAGCATTGCATGTATTTCGGTTCACGTTTCTTTAACGTCACGCTCTGGGGACCTACGCCTTTCACGTTGTCTGGTTCCCAGATCAAACAGATCCCAATGGGTGTGTATCACCCGTCAAACAACAATTGAGAATTAATCACTGTAGTAAACGAATGGCCGTGTTGAGAAGACCAAAACAGAAACCAAAATTTCACGGACACAAACAAACTGAAAATTGCCCGTATTGACAGATCAATAACCATTGGGGTGATTGAGCCGTATCCTTGGCCGTCGTAGGGCCAAGGATACGGAGGTGGTCGACTAGACTGCCCCCAGTCCGGGACTAGAAAAATATACCTCATTAAACAAAATTGGAAAAAATAAATCTTCCAAAGCAAACTCCAGATAAAATGGATTTCATTGAAACAAAACTAAAAAAAAATTCTCATAAAAAACAAAATTGGAAAAATATATCTCGTAAAAACAAAATTTTCCAAAAAAAGAAACAATGTTTCTGAAAATAGATCACTGCATGAGAACAATCTCAAAAAAGTATTTTGTAAAAACAAAACTGTGAGAAAAATACATCCCGTAGAAACACATTTCGGTAAAAATGGATCTCGTTAAAATCAAACTTCGAAAAATATACTTCATTTTTTTCAAAAAATATACTTGATGGCACTCCAGGGCTTTTGTAGCAAAGTACAAAATGTCACGACACTCTCTTCTGCCCGCACCGGGCTCTGTTCACCCATTCTTCTATGCTTCGTCAGAATTAAAATTAATGGCGAACCCGAGCCTTCGCACAAAATAACTCATACAGAACTATGGGCCTCACGGATCCCAAAGCCAGCTTACTCAAGAAAGCGGTCCTCGATTGACGGATTCCATTTCAGAAAGAAGCACTGGGGTAAGGTTCTGTATGTCAGGGCTTATACGGAAATACATTCTTTAAAAATGTTTAAACTTGCTGTTGCACATAATATGTGCCAACCAGGAAGTTAAAAACCGAACCCATTGTAATGGGTTCGGTTTTAAACTTCCTTGTTGGCTGGAGACAAACCATCATTGGATGGGTTGTACGATATCAACAACTGTGATTGTGCTCACACGATGACATAGCAATGTCAGGACGGAACAATGTTCAGTGGAGGTGCAATGTGGTTCTTGCAGAATCGAGTGTTGCAGGCTGCGCTTTTCTGTGCCTTTCTCGTGGTTCTCGTTCACGGTCGAGATGAGGCTTGCCAGCTCTGCACGTGTACACGAACAAAGGTCGTGGACTGTACGGGCAAAGGTTTGACGTCTGTGCCTCCTGGAATACCACAAGATACTGCTATTCTGTAAGTTAGTGTGTGCTTCCCAATGCAATCATTTCATTACAACCCTTGCAAGTACTCGTGACCGGGTAATTCGATATTTTTTGCTCTGAATTTCATTTACTTTGGTGATTTACTGTTGCATAAGTACAAAAAATAAAAGAAATTGGGTTCCCAATTTGAACAGTAACTGACAAGTGTTTTTTCCCACCATGGAGGTTCCTCGAAACCATAATACCTAAAGCCAACAGCGCCTGTACGGAGATTCAACTTTGACACTGCCTGATACATTGAACATGAAACCTAGAGCGGAAGTAACTCGGGTCGTTCTGGAACCCTTTGTCGTAGATGTTTTTGAATGGGTGGGGGAATACCAAACTTGTCCCAGACCTAGTCTTATCACGCATGAAAGAACATTTCTA